AGAGAGAGAGAGAGAGAGAGAGAGGACTCTACTCCCACAATACACCTCAGTGCCCTTATTTTGAGTTACAAATATAGTGTGGCTTTCAGGGAAATGTTAGAAAAAGAAACAAATAACACGCATCTGTTTTTTAAACTTCACAGTGAGTGGAATGACTGCACAAACCACAAAAAGCATGCTTATTTCCCCCAGTCAAAGAGAGCCGACCTGCACTTCTGTAACCTAAATTAACTGACATCGTTCTGACAGGCGCCTGTCAGGAAAACACACTCGTTCACGAGACCCGGGTCCATCTACCTGACCCAATAGGTAACGAAAGCTGAGCTAATCTCCATGACACACAGCCCATAGAACTCACCTCCTCAAGAGCTCTAGTATGCCAGGAACAAACAAAACCTCACCAATACAAACGGCCAGGGACCCTCAACAGATACACGCGGCCAGGAAACATACCGTGGATCCGCTTACCTCAGGGATGGACTTGACATAGCGGATCCCGTCATTGGCTCCCTTAATCTTGCCAAGGCAGTCACTGAAATAATCCCAGTAATCTTTCCTTGTGCCCAGCAAAGTTTTCTTCTCTTTCTGGTCAAACTGAACACATCACACATTTTTTTTTAAGACTCAAATGGCAAAGACGGGGGTCACACTTAGCATTTAGCTTTTTTTTGATAAATGTGACAAGAAATAAAGGGACTAATTTTATTGAATTGCAGCCCATTTTATTCTACATTAACAATTAGCGCTACATTGTGGATTAGTGTGTCACGGCCGTACCTTTATTCAAAGTCCAAAACCTGATTATCATTAGCTAGTTTTCGGAAAGCCGCTAACAAAGTAGATTACTTTCAGGGGTCTCGCCCATTGGGGTGCAAGAGTCCTGCTATGCAGGCTCTGGTCCAGATATGGAGGATGGGAGTGTTTGTGTAACATTTATGGGGAGCAGCGGAACCCACCTGCAGCAGGTACTCCAGCTTATAGGAGAACTTGTGGAGGCTCACGCTGTCATCGGTGATTGGTTCTCCAAGCTCGTTGTGTTCCCGCTTTAGCTCTATTACAGCATCTTGGTCAGGGGTGGGAGAGGGACCATCAGTGTGCATGTACAGGATGAGCCACCAGACTCTGACCGCTGGGCATCTCTACTCCACCGTAAAGTGCACCATTTCCAGGGTTAATTTGCTCACAGGGACAGAAGACCCATTCACAAGGTTAACTAAACTACAACTCAACCACCTAAGAAAAAATGTGCTCTGCAGTCACGCAGTGAATTGACGCCCTCATGCATGCTCTGCCGGGCAACAGTGGCAAAAAAATTGCTCTGGGGGGTCTTTATCAAACAGGAAACCCCCCAGGAAATATCACTCTAGCAAAATTACACACACAAACACGTACAGCAGACAAAGAGAAAACATACAGTCTGCCTCTGCAGGAAATACTTTTGGTTTGCTTCTTACACACACACACACACACACACACACACACACACGGTTTACCCTGCAGATCTCTGATAATCCTTTGTAGCTGGTTCTCCCCGACTGTCACAGTGGCCATGTCCCTGCCTGGGGGGTGGGGCAGGCGTCAGCGTGCTGAATCAGGGGAACATGCACATTTGGAATTAAGCACACACTTGCACACATAAACACTGGTATCCAAGCACACAGCAGTGGCAGGACTGAGTATCTGCACTGATGTGATGAAATGTGACATGCGACTAAACCCAGCTGGTGCAATCAGGATGTGGGCCATTTGTGAAACCTCAACCGGAGGAAGGTACCAGAAGAACGACTAAAGAGGAAATGTTGACTATAATCACTGGGGAGGCATACTCAAAGACCACTAAATGCAAATACAGGAGGACTTCTCCGCATCGTCTGAAGCCCGTGGAGGATCACAGAGCAACAGGCCATGAAGAGGAGCAGCCCATACTGTCAGAACTTTGCAAGAGCTGTAATGGAGCCTACCCATGCGATTCAGCACAGTCTAGCTTAACAGAGAAAAAGTCAGAAACCATTTAAGGACAGTATGTGCAAACATCTGCATCTGCCCTGCTCTCTTACTTTTTTATTAACCTTTAACTTCCTGAGAACCTACATCTGCATATAAGGACATCATTTTTATTTAAAACCACTAATTGTTCAAAAAAAATTATGTTCGGTTTTTATGATTATGAGGTCCTACTAATCCCAAATAGCTAAAGGAAAATAAAATATGCACACCAAACAAAAACTTAGGAGGTTAAAATTACTTTTGGTATTAATTTTTGCCCCACCCCATTTCCATACTGATTTAAATCAAGGTCCCACCATCATACTAAAGAAAATACTCACAAGGCATCTCTGCAGATTTTCTGGCCAAATACAGCACACTGTTACCGAAGGAGGCTATAAGCTGACAGCCTGTGCTGTCAACACTTAAAGGTTAGCGCCAGTATGACCTCCTCCAAACGTGAAACAGGACACCTAACAGACTTAAGCAGCAGGCCACACTGGAAACAGATTTATAACTAGAAATATTTGCTAAATCACACCATTTTAGATGCTGGTTCCAACTCCACGCACCTGACAGGATTTGATTTAATACTGAACAGCAAATCTCACAGTCGAGCAGTACATACGTTTAGGCTGCTACTAAAAGTTTCATAGAGGTTTGACTTAATCCCTACTACCGATTACAGAATGAGACATTTTGAGAATGATCTCCGCTTAACAGTATGTCAGGTGTACTACGACAAACCTAACCCAGCTCTATAACAACCTAATCTCTAAAAGTCACTATCCGGCACTCTCAACCGCAAAACCAATAACAGAAAACCTAAGTCCAGACCAATTCGTGTGACTGATGTTCATGGAAACCACTCTGTTACGGATGGCCTACCAGCACTAGACTCTGCAGCTGAATAATCATGATGCAGAGATGTGTAAGGGTATACTGTACCTTATACATTTGTAAAAGAGAACTGCCTAGGGCACAATAGCTCACTTGCTTGTTCTTTAAATATAAGCAATTGCACCGTGCAAATCCGCTTTATTTAGCCCATATCCAGGACGGTCAAATACCCGCCCCACTGGCAGAAGACTGCAGGTGCCCGCCTGATACCGGAAATCTTACCCACATCTGATTTTGCTCAGACTCATATGGATGTATGCATTAATGACGCATGTCAGGGAATACTGTATCCCTCTAAATAGGAGGTCCAGGGTTTACCGACCCTAACCCATCTCATGGTGTCAGATTCGTGCTTTTTAACGTGTTTTAAAGTACTGACACAACTCAGAAAGAAAAAGGATACCACAAAACAAAACAAAATATTACAAATATAAGAACTGTCATAAGCAAAAAGTTATATTTTAAAGTAGGGCGACGTCCTTACGCAGAGACATTAGAACTGTCGGCTCTGTAAGCGATCTAACGAAATCTAAGTATAGTGGGTCCAATCTGCGGACGCATTAAAGTGAACATGATCGCAAAGGTTTAAAGTGTTAAAGTCAGGGCTTTGTAAGTGATCTGGGTAATTCTGCAGGAGTGACGGGTCCGAATTGCGGAGAGGGGTTAGCATATTAGCCGATTAGCCCGCATGCGCTTGCGCGTCAATAAACCTGTCAAAGTGAAACCCAAAGCGGCTTTCCGCGCACTCCGTCTGTTCATACTCGCAGTTTAAGCAAAAATACGACAAGAAGATGGGATAACAAAACTCCGACATACTTAAGAAGGCCGGCGCTCCGCTTGAGTTGAAAGACTCGATACGCGGCGCGATACCGGGTCCGAGAGGCGGGCGAGACGGTGTGATTGACAGCTGCCTGGGCGAATGGGAGCCGCGGTAGGGGTGACGGCGGCGCGGCAGTTAGGTTGCAGCGTGCTGCAGGGGTTTAGTGAAGCAGGTAGAGGACGCCCTCCTGTTAAAGGGACCCTTCGCAGCCATGTGATGGTTGGGTGAGGTGGGGGTTATGTGTGCAATCAGCGCCTTTGGTTAGGGTTGCTACAAGTAATGTATAATTTCACTGTCGTTACCAGTAATTCTGTCACTGAATATATGAGGAATCTACTCCTATAGCATACATGGGTGGTGTTATTGCACTGCTTATCAACACGGGTGCATAGATATCCATAGGCCTACCTCTAAAGAGTGGTGCTTAGTTAATTAAGTTATGTAAGATATGAGAGTTATGTGTGATTGTGCTGTTCAAAACAATTTCTATCACTATTTTTGAAACACTATTCACACATTTTCTGGAATTCCCAGCAGTACAACGCGTGTGTTTTCATATTGTAGTGAACGGCCCTGGGTGTGGTCACTCCCTGCCTGCTAATAAGGAACACCTGTGACCGGGATGGGGAGGGGGTAGAGACTGCCGGGGGGAACGCAAAGATATTGTCAGAGAAACTTTAGGCTGGGACGCTGGCAGCATTTTGGGGAACGTAAACAGGGTTGTGTCCGAATGACCTAAAAACACAAGGTGTTTTACACCTTGATTTTGAGTTAGTGATGTAGATTTGAGTACTAATGAGTAAGTAACGAATACCAGGCTGTAAAGAATCGTTACTAGTATTCAGCCGTTCAAGGATTCGTTGCTGACTAACGAAATGACTGATCAAACCGCCCAATCGGCACTCGCCATGCACTGTTGTTTGCAGCAGTTCTGGCTGGCATGCAGTTGCAGCTGGTTTCCATTATCTGAATCCTGCGCTCATTGTCTGTCTGTTGTATGGCCCACATGCGAGTCTGATGGGCTGGGTAACGGCACTGACTGGCTGGCCGGGGTAATTAGTCGCCCATCGCCGTTCTAAGGACAGAAGATGTACGTACGTCTTCAGTTCATTGTAGTAACGAGTATTAAGTAACGAATACTGGACTGCCGAGTACTCGGTAGTAATGATTACTCAAAAGTCCTGGCAAGGTGTGTGTTAGCCCTCGGGAAGGGACTGAAATCCGTGGAAGATCTAATAAAGACTTTTTTTTTTTTCTTCCCCCTATCTTGGTCGTCCTTATTTGGCTGGACCTCCCCAGCGTTACTAAATAAAAAAAGGTAGTGGCAGTAAACATTGACAATAAGGCTCTTAGTGAGTGTACTTGTTACAATAGTTTAAGCTTTGGTGTTGTAAGCACAGAAATCATAATGTTTAATATGGAAAAACTCTCGCAAGTAACACGGGGAACATAATTGTGTTGTTGTTACTGAGGTTTGTTTTTGGGGGGGGGGACTTACATAGCGAGGTGAGTGACACAGTAGTCTGGTTGTAACTTCCAGAAAAACAACGTTATTAAAAATACGACTGAAGTTGATAAACGAGTCCTGTGTCTTCAATCCATCTCCCGTGAGCCAAAGACCCCCGTCCTCGAGTAGTTGAACAGAACTCACCCGGAGACCGTTACCGCATACCAACAATTTCTTAAGTTAACAGTGTACGATTAGGTAATGTCGGCCCAAGCAAATTTTAACATCTGAAGTGTAATGCAAAGTTTTGCTTGCTGGCGCTGAATTGGGCAGGAAAGAGCGCGTTTTGTAGTAGTGTTGATAGTCAGCCAAGACTGATAATTAGATAAGCCTGAAAGAAATTCAGCCTATGAAAACTGATGCAAATTGATTATCGTCTATCATATGGCGTGACATTCATGCATGTGATTTAGATTCAAAAATGACATTTGCAGTGAACAGAGATTGGATTGAAGTTATTTATCCAAGTTTCTCTTTTTAACATTAAAGTACTTCAAAGAAAAAAGAGACTTAATTTAATTAGATGAGTTTCCTCCATACAAGTACTACCGAGTATATTTTCATGCGGAATTCTAGTAGTTTGAAACTACTAGATTCATACCTCATTTCTGCTTTCACTTAGCAATTTTTTTGTTTGTTTTTTTTTGTGGTATAGGTCAGACCACATTATGAAGAATAAGTAAGAGGCCTGTTTATAAGTGCTGTATAGACAAAAATATACTCATATATATATAAAATACTGTGAGGTTTGTAGAAAATAGTGATTTCTTATATAAAATATGGCTAATTAAAATATTATGAATAAAGTTACTTAGCGGCTAAGTTTATATACGCAACTTTCTTTAAAAGGATGCAGAACTATCAAGCTTGTCTTGACAGGTTCACTTCCAAACAAAAAACTGCATACTTGGTTGTGTCTGTGTCACATTTCAGCCATGCGACATGCAACCCAAAGGATTGCAGCCTCATTATGGGAGACACAACTGGAATCTATAAATGCGACTGATCTACTGCCCTGCTCATATGCACGCATACACATATCTAGTTGCACAGGTAGTTTATTCATGTATTAATTTGTTATACAGTCCCGATCAAAAGTTTAAGACCACTTGGAGAATGGCAAAGAATCATATTTTGCATGGTTGGAAATTACAAGAAGAAATGGGAGTGAGACAAAACATTTTCAAAGGCCTCGTCTCCTTGAACGCCACAGAACTGCTCGTTTGGAATTTGCAAGAGAGCACCAAATATGGGACATTCAAAGGTGGAAGAAAGTTTTATTCTCTGATGAGAATTTTTTTTTAACTTGATGGTCCTGATGGTTTCCAACGTTACTGGCATGACAAGCAGATCCCACCTGAGATGTTTTCTACGCGCCACAGTGGAGGGGGCACCATAATGGTCTGGGGTGCTTTTTCCTTCAGTGGAACAATGGAGCTTCAGGAGGTGCAGGGGCGTCAAACGGCCGCTGGCTATGTCCAGATGTTGCAGAGAGCATCCCTCATGACTGAGGGCCCTCGTCTGTGTGGTAACGACTGGGTTTTTCAACAGGACAACGCTACAGTACACAATGACCACAGGACAAGGGACTTCTTCCAGGAGAATAACATCACCCTTTTGGCCCATCCTGAGTGTTCCTAAATCCAATTGAGAATCTTTGGGGATGGATGGCAAGGGAAGTTTACAAAAATGGACAACAGTTCCAGACAGTAGATGCCCTTCATCATGCAGCTCTCTTCACCACCTGGAGAAATGTTCCCACTCACCTCATGGAAATGCTTGCGTCAAGCATGCTGCAATGCATTTTTGAAGTGATCAACAATACTGTTTTTTTTGGTGGTGTGGTCCTAAACTTTTGATCAGCTGTAAAACAGCCTGTTTCAGTTTAAGCTTTGTTTCAAATAAATTGCATGCTCAAAAAAACGTTTAGTCTCACTTCCATTTCTTCTTGTTGCATGTTGAAGCTCTACTTGGAACCTTATTAAGATCCAACCATGCAAAATATGATTTTTTTTGCCATTTTTCAAGTGGTCTTAAACTTTTGATCAGCTGTGTATGTACTTATTTGTAAGACTTCCATTAGGAAGGAGGGTGAACGGAGCCATATGACAAAGGGAATGGCAAGAATTAACAGTAACACTTGATGGGGCAGAAATAATATATTATGCCATTACTTTTGTATTAACCACAAACTAAATCTTAGTTACATACTGATCTCGTGTTAATTAATCATTAATGAATTGTGACACGTTTTATCTCAAGCAGTTACTATATTTGTTACTATATCGGTTGATTCTCTAAACCTCTGACACATCTTTTATCTCTAGTAGTGACTATATTTGTTCATGATTTGTACTTAAGTAGTAACTGAGTTATTTCTAAGTATTAACGCACTGTCAAGTAACGTGTTACAATGGGGCAGTGTGAGCCTCTGGCCTAGAGGGTGTGGGTTCCAATCCTATGGCTGACGCAGTAGTCATGGTGCTGCTGGGCTGCCGCGTCAGTCCCTTATCCCTGTCCGATCCTGGAATGGCAGGCAGCGAGTCAACCTGCCCTCTAGAACCCATACTTTCCTCACTTTGTCTAAATAAACATAAATGAATTCAGGATTAACAAAACGGCAGGGAAGAGAGAAAATCATTTCAGCATGAGAAGAAACAAGTGGACGTGAAAGTAATAACAGAAATTGAACGAATAAATGGGGTCATTACTGTACCAGCCCCCCGTGCCCGATGCATCCCACCAGCTTACAGGAAAGCTACAATGCAATCAATTGTTATCTAGTGAATCTTCCTTTTTTCAATACCTGGTTCCTATTAATCTCGCATAATACATGCATGTTCAGCAAACAAAAAACAATTCTGTCCCATTCAACTTAGGAAAAGGTAGGAGACAATTTCATTTCTAATTGTGCGAATGAACGGCACAGATTCTTCTCTAAGAATTACTAATTGATTACTACTGTTTAGATTGATTTTTTTTCTTTTCATAAGCATATTTCATATTTATATAAGAGAAATGTTACTGAAAAGTTTGCATTTTCCCAATACATGAAGGTTCAGTGATGGTCATTGTCAGTGGTTGTCAATCAGTTTACAGGGATGGATTCTGGATCATATACTGAAGACTTTACCCCTACTTATGATTATAATGAATCTTATTATGAAGAAGATCTACTGTGCAACAAGTCAGACGTTATCAAGTTTGGAGCAGTCGTAACACCGGTTTTTTTGTGGATTGTCACATTACTGAGCCTTTTTGGGAACAGTCTTGTTTTGGTCATTCTGACA